AGAGGAATAGAGGGAGGAGAGATGAAGAGACAGAATCAGAGGAACAGGGACAGTGGAGGGGCAGAGAGATGCTAAGAGATAGAAATACAAAGAGACGGAGAGATAGAGAGGGAGAAAGATGTAAACAGAGGCAGAATCAGGGACATAGATGTAGACATTGAGAAAACAAGGAGAGTCAGGCTCCTAACCAGACCTACTTCCAGGTCAGGAAGTGACGTAGTGAGTAGGGTGAAGGAAAGTCTGCCTTGCCTGACCTGGGACCAGGATGCTCGTTCTGTGGAAAGTTCTGCCAAACATCCCTGACCAGAGCTTTGGGCCCAGCAATGGTCCCACAAGAAGGAATCTGTGCAGGAGAGTGGGGTCTCCCACACCGCGTTGGCCTCAGCAGGTCCCCAGCAGGTGGGGCATACCTATAGGGCCACAGGCCTCACCCTGTCCCTGGGCCAGGTGTGAGGGAGATCCAAGATGCCCTGAGAAAGGCCACATGGAGGGACAGAACTTCCCCACCAGGGACAGCTTCCTGAGCTCCAGAGTCCACCTCTCAGGTGAGAATGTGCAAAGCCACCGCCTGCCCAACTGATTTGGGTCCTTCTCCTGCAGGGTCCCTGGAGCTCATCTCTACAGCCGCCAACCACTCCAACGCAGCCATTCGGAAAATGGTGAGTACAACTGCTGGAGGGGGTGTGGAGTGGAACAGAAAATGCAAGGGTGGGTGGGCACCTTCTCCCTGTCTTCCATGGGTCTAATCAGTGAGTGCTTTCATGCTCCCATCTCCAGGGTGTTTAGGGGCCCCGTGTTGAGCTGGAGAGGCATGCACCTTATCAGATCTATAGACTTTGGTTATTTAGCACCCTGTGCCTTAGTTTCCCCATTTTTGAAATAGGGGTCCTCACAGACCTAGTCTCTTTGGGCTTCATGGCGATTAAAAGAGTTACTGTACATGGCTTGCTCTGAACAGGAGCAGGCGTAAGTGTCAGCTCTCATTATTGCAATCACTCATCCGTTCACCAGAAATGCAGAGTCCACCTCAGGGACCAGGCCTGCACATGCCTGGCCCCTGGTACAGGCCAGGTGTACTCCCAATGCCCAGTTCACATCAGAAGCACACCTAGTTCCCTCAGGACACACCAGGCACACACACAGCTCCCCCAGTACACATTAGGAACACATCTAGCCCTCCTCTACTGCACATCAGTTGACCAGCCCGCTCCCCTGGAACACATCGCATGCACACCCAGGTTCCTTAGAACATGCCAGGACATTCCTAGCCTCCCTGTACATACCAGGTGCATGCTCAGCACCTCCAGTACTAGCCAGGCATGCGTATGCTGAGTGCCCCCAGGACAGGCTAGATGCACGCCCAACCTCTCCAGTACCTGCCAGGTATAAGTACAGCCCCTAGAACATGTCAGATGTAAGTGAGCACCCTGAGCTGTACGTATGCCAGGTACATGTTCATTCTCCCTAATTTTCAGGAAGTCCTCAGCCCTGCCCTGTTGGTCCTGTTAGTGTCCCCCATAGTCTGTGCTGTGCTGTTTGACACGCTTGTATCTACCTGCATCTGTGGCACAGACAGCAGGGCTACCCTAAACTACCTGCTAGGTACGCAGGTTGCAGTTACTCCAGTCCAAGGGCACCAGCTGCTGAGGTCCAGGCCAGAGCATGCTGCTGCTGCAGAGGTCCCAGTAGGCTCAATCCTACTTTTTGCTGTGTTAGTTCCCAGCTCAGGGCCAAGGCCACAAGCTGCTGACTCTGTCCTTTCATACTATAGGGTTCTGGTTGGCCATGTGATCCACCAGTCACCCTGACCAGGGAAAGATGACACTCAGACTAGCACAGGCCAGATCATAACCCTCGGCTGACTTCTTCATGCCTTAGTTTCTTTGTCTGTAAGTTGGAACTGATAATGGCATCCATCTCAGAATTCAGTGGGTTAAAGCATGTACCATGAATAGAACTGCCCTTCACACATGGCAGTAGAAACAGCTGTTATTTATTATAACAGCATCGTGAACTTCTATTCTTTCTGCATGGTGAACTTCTGTATATCCATCACTATCAGACTCTAGTGCTTGCCTGTGTTTCCTTCCATTCTGTTGTTACAGGCTCATTGTCCTGTTGGGGTTGTAGGTTGCACTTGTAGGGCAAAGGCCTGCTTGCCTTGGTCCCCAGGAGCACCTGCCTGACCCCATGTCTCTTGCAGGAGAAAATGCACAAGCTCCTGGAGGTGTATGAGCAACTGGGTGGGGAGGAGGACATTGTCAACCCAGCCAATGAACTGATCAAGGAGGGCCACATCCAGAAGCTTTCAGCCAAAAATGGCACAACCCAGGACCGCCACCTCTTCCTGGTGAGCCCAGCTGCCAGTCCAGCCCCGGAGCTCCCTTGCCTGCCCCTCAGGCCCAAGGACAGGATCTTTTTGTGGATTTCCTCTCCTTTTTGTCAGCAGCTCCACCCCGTTTGCTACAATCATCTCATGCTTTTAACTGCAGCAATGCATCTTGATTCCAACCATCCCAAAACCAGACCCTGGCTTGGAGGGAGGAGAGGTGCTCCAGGTGCCTGGTGTAGCTGGAAAAGACATGATTCTCACCTTCCCACAGTCCCTTGTCCTGACCTTGTATGGCCAAGTGCTACCCCCATCCCCTGGCCACCATTGATCTGTTCTCTATTTCTACAGTTTCATTTTTCCAGGGTGCCACATAAATGCCATCAGATGCATCTGGCTTCATTCACTTGGCCCATTTATGTGTGAAATCCATTGCTGTCTGCTCATTCAAAACGTTTCCTTCCTTATTGTACAATTTGCTAGGTACATGGTGGACAAGTCAAAAAATAGGAACTTGACAAAAATAAAAATTTCCTCCACAGTCTCTTCCCTCAGAGATGGAAACGTAGTTAAAATAATCATGCACATGCTTTTACGGTTGACCTTAGAGGAGACCTTCCAAGGGTCTTGTGGGAGCAGCTCCTGGCCCCTCACCATGCCACCCTTCTTGCAGTTCAATAGCATGATCCTCTACTGTGTGCCCAAACTGCGGCTCATGGGACAGAAGTTCAGTGTTCGGGAGAAGATGGATATCTCTGGTCTCCAGGTGGGTGAGCCCTTGTTCCCAAACCTTTCACCCACCAAAGGGACATGAAACAGGGGTGGGACTTTAGGCTTTGGCCAACAATTCTGCCTGTGGCTGCGGGATAGCTGCAGCATATCTTGGCCCTGGTGTGGGCAGAATTCTCCATTCTCTAGATGTGGGTTTTCCTACTTGTGTCTTTAAACCAAGAAGTCACTTGCCCACATGAACTCAAATGTTGCAGAGTGGCCATGGTCCTCCTGGATCTTCTCATAAGAGCGTCCTCCTTTCTAAGAGGGTGCATCTCCCACAGAGAGGTGGTGGGGAAGGTAAGGGCAGCGATGGCTGGAACAACTCCTAGAGAAGGCTTGCTGGGCTGTGCGTGGGTTTGGTCAGCAGTGTGCCAGGCACAAGGATGAGGCAGTCCCAGCCTACCAGCTCCCATGGGCTGGCTCATGTGGTGGCCTCCATCACCCACCATGACCCTGAGCTTCAGGGCCTTTTCCCTGCAGACCGCAGAGCCTGCTGGGTCACCTGTGACACCTCCTTGGGGACAAACCTCCAAGTCAGAGAACACGAGGCTGGTGCTGAAGAAGAGCTAAAGTGACCAGCTTGTGTGGGTTTGTGTTTTGTTCTTTGCTCTTCAGGTGCAGGATATTGTGAAGCCAAATGCAGCACATACATTCATTCTGACCGGAAGAAAGAGGTGCCTGGAGCTTCAGACTCGGTATGGCGCAGGCCTCACGAGTGCTGCTGCTGCTGGGCGAACATCCCAGATGTGTGTACACACCACACATCTATCACAGTGCGGGGGCTGCTGCTACATAGTCTGCTTCTGAATCTTGCTTTTTTTATCCAGTTTGCCAGGAATTACCCCATAGCCTTGCGCCATTTCTTAACACAGTGCAGCTCTCCCTCATAATCTATAACCAGTTCCCACGGGCAGGCGCTCAGGCTGCTCCTGGGTCCTGCTAGTGCCGATGGTGCTGCTAGTTGTGTTCTCATACTTCACTTCTTGTGCACTTGCCAAGGTATCCATCAGATATTGCTGACAGAGAGTCGCAGATCAAAGTTGCCTTAATTTGGTGGCCATGGTCACTTTACCCTTTAGGGCCAGGCTCTGACTGGCAATGTGTGGAAGGTCTGGCCTTCCATGCCTTGCTAATGGCATGAAAGCTTGGGAATTACCTGCTAGGGCCAGGGAGGCACTGGTTTACACCACTGCAGGGAGTCTGCACTGCAAGCCAGGATCCACCACAAACTCTCAAGCTCTCAGGTGAATTAGGTGAGGTGTCAGCTCCAGACTCAGAGGAAGCTGGGAGTTTATCGTTCGTATTCAAGACCAGATTGAAAGATACTGTCTTTGTTTTTATAGGACCGAAGAAGAGAAGCAAGAATGGATTCAGGTAGGTGAATTATCTAGTTTTGAAGTAGCCAAATCCCCAAGTTATTGAGCAGTATGGTCATTGCACATTGGAGCAAAGAGTCGGGATGGCCCAGTTCCTCCCCTAGTGCTGCCTGGCCCTGTGCCCTGCCCTGAATGAGCCCATGACTGTGGTTGCCTTCATAGGTACTTTGAGACAACACAAGCCTTTTAATCTATTTGCCAGCTTGATCCCTATCCCCACATACCTAGATAGAAATGAATAAGCCTTATGTGAGAGGCTGAGGCAAGAGGACCAAAAGTTCAAGCCCAGCCTGAGTAACTTAGTGAGATCTTGTCTAAAAATAAAGTTAAAAATAAAAACGAAGAAATAAATGAACCAGGAGGGATCATGCTGGAGATATCCTCTCTCCAAAGTGGTCTTTTCAATCTGGAAGTTTCCAGGGCAGAGCCTGCACCATTGGTTAGCAGAAATATGATGGCCAGGGGCCTAGGCCATGTTTCACGTACTCCTAGACCCCACAGAGCCAGGCATGTCCCCCTGCAGTGTCGAGGTCCTCCTGGCTCCTGCCTACAGCCCTATGGTTTTTCTGTGTCCAGGTCATTCAGGCCACCATCGAGAAGCACAAACAGAACAGTGAGACCTTCAGGGCCTTCAGCAGCACCTGGAGCCAGGATGAGGAGCTCAGCCCATCTCCGGAGTCACCAGTGAGTTGGTACCTGGGTCAGGAGTGGGGAAGACTGCCTGCCGGGTGGGAGCTCCAGGAACATTCTCTGTCTGTCTGTCTGTCTGTCTGTCT